TGCCATGAAGGTGTATGGGGAAATGGATGTATAGATCCACATTTTCTTGACCTTGGCATGAGATGGATGTGTGATCAGCTTCACGCCCCTGCCGCTTTACCCCTGGGGAAAGAGCCCTAATACCCATTGGATAGGAGGTTGGTTCGACCCCTGAGCCGGCGTGGACAGCGTGGAGAAGAGAAAATTCTTGACCCTACCGGGACTCGAACTCCGACCTCTCTGTCATCCAACCCGTAGCCAGTCGCTATACCGAGTGACGTGAAAACAGAGCAAAATATAGAAAGTAAAACCCATTAAGTATAGATCCAAAAGAATTGCAAGTTAAACGATGATTCTTCAGCTATCGAAACAGAATTATTGTTGAAGATGAACATTTCTGTCTTCTACAATACAATGTCTTGTAGTCCGTTGACAGTCAACCGACGTCTAGGACGACTATGTCACCTGCAGTTTCGGGGTCAAAGAGTGAGTGAAGCAAGAAACCAGCATGAAGCGGGCAACTGCTCCAAGACTGACTCTTGATATTCACCTTAAAGCACAACAGTGCCAGAAATGGGTACACAGGATTTGTTAGGTAACTGCGAAACCAGATTAACGGCCGTTGGGATTCGTTGCGCTGATCACGCTACACCCTCTATCCGCTAAAGTTGGCACTAACTTCGCCCACAAGCGGCGGCCGCACGGTCGGTATAGTTCGCTTGTGGACTACAGGTCACGGAGTTGGTTTTGTTTGTGATGAGATTTGTATCTGCAATAAATGGACGCCACTTGTTTCGGTGTACACGCCACAGCAAGGAAGACAATTGGACAGAGTGTGTTCCAATGGAGCGCACCGTTCCACTTCTCTGTGCTGCTTCAAAGAATATGGTACGTTCTGTTTGTCAGGAATCTCACGTCAGTTGATGCGGTTTCATTGCCATGGAGAGCTGGACGAGTGACGACTCCAGCGCAAGGCTCCACCCAGTTGCTTTATGTTTCAGGACTTCACTCGCACCCTCAATTACTAGGGAATTATTCTTCAAGAAATCTTCACACGTAGGGCTGTCCAATTTGAAATACCAAGGTCTACATAAATTGCAAGCAAGAGAACACAGAGCCATGGTATACACAATTTGATGTTTATTGAGAGATATCCTCCATTATGAAGGCATGACACGTTGCACCCTCCCGCAAAAAGTAAAGGTATCCCTGTAACAAGCCGCGAAGACCCATAGGGCTGTGAGACGTCGAGGTTCTCACATTTTCTCTAGACAATCGGCTCACAGATGGAGGTAAGGTTGTCAGCCATATGCGTCGGCCTCCCTTTACCCCCCGAGGAAGACGCCTTGTACTCATTTCTGTTAGAGGATTGGTCGACCCCAGGGCCATAGTGCGGCTGGAAGAATTAGGTCCTTTGAAAAAATCCACCTCATCGGGACTCGAACCCGTGTGGCCCGGGAGCTCCCCTATATAATTAAAACGTTTTGACTTTGATAGCGATGAGGGAAGGGGGAGCATGCAAAAGAATCCGCACTAGATCAGGCTGGTCTTGAACACTAGATTTCCTACACGGAAAGCCAGGACGACGTTTTAGCATTCATAGCATTGGGTGTAAAAATGTGACATAATAGTACCTTTAGTGAATCACACTGAACATTTGTGGCTCGTAAAACTTTGAGGTAAGAAGCGATGGAGAAATTCGTTGTACGAAGGTAGTTGGATATTGTACAGTGTTTCATGAATAGAAATATTTTGACAGAGGCAGATTAAGAATGGTCTCACTGGCACACAGACCTACTTTATTGTAGTGTAATTCGTTTGAAATATAAATATTCAGCAGCGCTCCTTCCCTGTACACCAAGGTTTCAGCTGTAATGCATTCGACGCACGCCAGCCGCCACCCAAACCGACAACCGCTTCGCGCGTGAAGTAAATATTAGCGGTTTATAATTCAACATTTAATGAAAATGCTCCTTGGAAATTCGTGCCTGTTCACTCGTAAACGTGTCAAGGTGAAGCTCTAAACTTCAAAATGGCACCATTTCAGGCTGTCTGCCTTTACCGTGTACCTTCTGCCAACGAGACGCTTATTTGTTACGAATTCTTCAATCAGGTTTTATTTCAAATGAAGTATTCTGAAAAATCGACTGCTAACCAACAAAGTAACTAAGCAGCTCCACAGAGCTGTGTTCTTCTTAAGAAGCCAAACATTTCTCAGCCGCACAAGCATCTATTCTGGTCTAGAAAACTGAGATTAACGGTCTTGGGGATTCGTTGCGCTGACCACGCGACACCCTCCATCCGCTGAAGTTGGCACTAACTTCGCCGACAAGCGGCGGTCTCTCGTTCGGTATAGTTCGCTTGCGGACTAAAAGCCTCTCAGTTTACAAGCAACTATAGAAATTTTATGGAATCTTAAAGTTTACTGTCATGTTCACAAGAACCCGCCACTGGTCTCTATCCTGAGCTAGATGAATTCAGTCCCCAGGCTTCCCCATCCTATTTTTTAACATCCATTATGACAGTGCAATCTCACCTACGTCTAGGTCTTCCTACTAGTCTCTTTCCTTGAGGTCTTCTTACCAGAACGTTATATGCACGCACTTAGCTCTCATGCGTACTACATACTCTGTCCATCATATCCCCCTTGGGTTGATCATTTTAATAACATTTTCTTATTTCTAAAATCACACATTTTACATAAACCTGTATCTACTTCACGCTAGTAACAGTGTATATAGGAGATTAATATTCAAATTCTACTTTTAATCGGCTACATGAACAATGTAAACAATAAGTTGGTGCTCGCAAATTTGGATCATGTCACTCTATTATATCATGAAATCCATATTTTGAAAGAATGGATGAAGCATCTCACAACTTTCTCATTGTTTTCTGCCAAATCGCACTTGGCTATTACTCTTGGAGTGGAGTTATACCTCCACTCCCCATATATCTTCATGGTATAGTACTTAATTAAATTTACCTNGGATGAAGCATCTCACAACTTTCTCATTGTTTTCTGCCAAATCGCACTTGGCTATTACTCTTGGAGTGGAGTTATACCTCCACTCCCCATATATCTTCATGGTATAGTCATCATCATCATGAGTAATCTGTCAGATAACAGGTCGACAGTCTCTTCCAAAACAATTCCTCCACTTAACGCGATCTAGAGCTTTCTCCTTCGAATGAAAGTATCCTCTTCTGTCCCCAAGGTCATCCAGCATCTTCTCACGTCTTCTTCCTCGTCTTCTTGTCACTTCTATCCGCCCCTCTATCTTTCCTTCAATAACTTCTTTTAGAAGGCAGTTTCTGCGTAAAACATGACCAATCCAATTAGCCTTCCGTTTTCTTATTTCGTCATGGTATAGTACTTAATTAAATTTACCATTTTTTTAATATCACATCGAGCGCTGTACGATTATATGCAGTCTCCTTGAAACAGACAAGAGAGCACAGGCAGAAATACTTTAAATTAAATAAGCAAAGATATAGATATTTACACAGTGTGACAATTAAGTTCCCGAACTGAGGCCATAATAAACAACAAAAAATTATTTATTAATACCATCATTGAATATAGTCCCCACCTGCTTCCACACAACATTTACATCGCTCATATAACAATCAGCTGCCCAAGAAAACGCTTCTTCCCGTATCGCCTTCAGCTCTCTCGTCACAGTCTGCTGGACCGACGAAACAGCATTGAACGTCCCTTTCATCGGAAAATTTTAATTTAGGGAACAGAAAAAAAGTAAGCCGGTGATAAATCAGGTGAGTAGGGTGGATAACACGGGGATCAGTTAGTTAGCCAAAAAGTCGGAGACAACGCCCGAAGAATGCGCCGGTGCATTGTCGTGAAGAAGATACCAGGGCCAACTTTCCTGAAACTCGGGCTAACGCAATGAGATCGAGCGACCAATCTCTTAATCACTTCTTTATGAAATTTACCGTTTAGAGTCCGTTTTTCCGGCAAAAATTCCTGACGGGTAATACTTTTAGAACCAAAAAATGCAATCAGCATTGCTTTCACCAGCGATTTTTGCATTCTCACTTTCTGAGCTTCTTTGAATATTTTTGCCATTCAACACAGTTGTTCTCGATAAATATTCTGCACCGTACGCACTTGTCAACATTTTAAACGTTTCCATTGCCGTTTTCCTTAATTTTACACAAAAATTAATCGCTGCTCTTTATTCCATTTTGAAACCTTCGACACAAGGAAAAAACTAACTTCACCCAAGCAATTATAATCCTCATATGCATCAATCAAACAAGTGGAAGCTTGCACATCATATAAATAAAGTTTCTCTCTAACTATTCCGTTCATGCCCGATAGATTGAGTTAGTAGTGTTACTGCAATAGCTTCAGTTCGGGAACTTTATTGTCACACACTGCCATGTTTATGATGTTATAAATAAATATTTTTTTTCGTGATTCCATTATTTTGACATTATTGATAAGAATGTAATTCCTGTTTGTAGTTGTACAATTTCAATATGCTTGACATCAGCCAGCAGATGCTGTAAAAGCGACTATTTACATGTCATTTAGAGAAGAAGTCAGACGGCTTTCTGCTCCACAGTAGGAAGGACAGTCGTGAACCGAGGTATGACAATACAGACAGTCGATCAGTCGATCAGTCTCTGAGAGGCCTACATATATTTCAGCTTTCTTTCGGGTCCTTCGCAACTAAACCTGCTGTATATTTGGTGAGCGTGTGTGTTTGGGGCTGTTGTTTCGTTCCAGTGGCGTTTCACTGAGGTCTGAAAAACGGAAGACGAAGAACCCAAGGCACACACAGAGAATTTTAGAGCACCGTGTGTTATTATTTTAAGGCGGAGGACAGTGGCTTGTACATGATGTTGTCAAATTCAAAAATAAAATTTCGCAACATCGAATTTTTAAGCTTCCGTTTTTTTCGGAGCGACAGACCCACCAGCATGTGTGACCCCTGCATCAGTTGCAGGAAGTATTGGTGAGATCAGTCCCTCTTGAAAGCACGATAAATACTCACCGGCAGAGGCAGTGAAGCTGGCGATCACGGTGAAGAGCAGGAGTTCAGTTCGAAACACACCCATAATGCACAGTTCATAAGAGAGTTAACAGAAACACTGTCCACTGATGGAGTGTGAGCAGCGCATCTTGAGCCAACCCAGAGGTCAAGGTTACTTCGTCACCTGCAATGAAAAATGTGCAGAAGTCATGACTAGAAAGGACAAGTGGCCTTTAGAAGCAATGCTGGCCTTTATATGAAACGGATCTCGCTTGCTATAGGCCATGAGTGTCGTCAGAGCTTCGTGCGCAGGCCCGTAATAATACAGACTAAACTGCATCTTCGGATGATGACAAAATTTGACACCGCCCAAAGAGGTAGCCAGTTTTTCAAGAGGGCAGGTGAAAATTTGCTTGCAATTTTATGTTTAAGGTACTTAAGACTGTTTTTACTGGTCGCACCCGAGTGTTCAGGATAGAGATATATTTAAGAGAGAACTTATAATTTTTTCATAACATCCGGTATATTTCTTTTCTTTTCTTTTTTTTAATTTGGGTGGAGGGAACAGATACCTGGCTTGCAGCTTCCCCTGCTGGGACCGATGATTATATCTGAATTCTTGGGGGCGTTGTACGGTAGCAGGAAATGTAAATCTGAAGTTTTGCAGCGACTGAATATTTCCGGCACTATCACACTTCAAGGAAATAGCGGCTCCGGTCTACAGAACCGAAATTAAAGGCCGTGGGGATCTGTTGCGCTGACCACGCGACACCTACTACAGTTTATTGAAGAGGTGTCTGTCGAAATAAAATAGGTTTCAGGCCTTCAGAACGTAATAATGTATTTTTAACTTTATCGTTGGTAACATTTTCGCCAGTACTAGAACGAGGAAATGCGAACAGAGTAAGGTTCTTTTAAATTCTTTCGCCTGAACACACTCCTTCCAGTATGATAGCGGAGATCATTCAGAAGGTATCCAGCTACAATTCTGTGCTGAGAATCTGCAAAAGTCTGTTCACAGTTCTTCATTTGTTTCTTGGGCTGTTTCATTTGCTGTCTGCCAGTATTTGCAGATTTGTGCCAAGTAACCGTGCATGAATGTTGGCTCCGTCTGGAAAGAAGTGTGGAGAACAGGCTCCAGTGCAGTTTTCTTACTTTAACTTAACTTGTCTCATTTATTTAATACAGAGGTAAATGAGATGATGCTAGGAAGTTCATGTGCGGAACAGGCAGAAGTGTACTTGAAGGTACCGTCCCAGTATTTCACGCAGCACTTGAGTTATGAGTCCCAGCTTTGAGGCCAGAGGCAGTTCCGACAAAAGCCAAAGTGTCCTAGACACCGTTTCACTTCTCGAGACTTGCCTACAGGCTTTGGCTGATAGTTTTTGTTGGCAAAGAGAGGTCATCGTGTACCGGACAACATTATTACGAAGTCCAGTAAATGAATGCATAATATGGAGGTAATATTTACACGTTTCCTATCCAAAACTACTAAAGAGGTTTTGAGGAAACATGGAAATGAAAAGTCCTTTTATTACGGTTTATTTTCCCGATATATTATTATGTGAAATCAACGTAGGACATCAGCAAATAGATCAATTTTGCTGAATTTTAGTCGATCAAATGCTTCGTGCCCTTATTAGATCACCCTAATTTTTTTCGGAGATTAAAGAGAGGGTTTAAGTAAGTATTGTACGAATTGAATGCAAGTAATAATTATTCAGAATTACTTTATTCTGGTCTTAAAATTAATAAATACAAATAATAAATGAATAATAAATATAATGGTGTGTTGAAGCCATGAATCAGTTATCCTTGCTATACGTCAGCTGAGTAAGCGGCCTCCGTAGTCTAGAGGTAATGTTCCCACCTCATGACTCGTGGTACGCGGGTTCAAATACCCGGCGG